TATGATAGCATTATTAGTTTTGCTGTGATAGTTTTGCTAACTTTGCTATGATAATTTTGCCATGATCATCATGTTTGCAAAACCTTCTAAAAATATCTACAAATAATATTCTCTAAAGCTAGTGTTCAATAAGATATAAAAAATTATTCATCCAATCATATTGTGATATGAAGCAACCAATAAAATATAATTAACTAATTTCTACTAAAAGTTCATATCACAACAATATAAGAATAAAAGAAAATTAATAGTATAATACTAAAATATCATATATAATACTAAATTTATTATATTATATAATGAAATTTAGTCAATTAAAAATAATAAAAATAATATACATAATATTTTAGTGCTGAAAATTTTGGCTATTACTATTATAATTACAAATAATCTTTTAAAATAATAAACAAAATAAATGTATAAAGTTATAAAACATATTTATAATATATTTGTTTTAATAGTCATAAAATTTTTTAGTTTAAAATATTGATTAAATATTGACTTTTTTAAATTATTTGTATTATATTCATTTCAAAAAATAATATATATATAATTAATGAATACTACATTTTATAATAAAATATTAAATAAATACATTTGCTATGCAAAATCTATCACTATGTAAGTGTTTATTAAAATCCATCACAATATCCATATTCATAATTTGTAATTGAAAACTCTAATTAATATTATTCATGTGATCAAACATAATGACATGACAAATAAAAAAATAATGTTCAAAAATCAAAAATCTTCATGTCATTTCAAAATTATTTTATATCAGTGTAAAATCTAAACGGTAATTAAGAAATGTTATTTTCACACTATTATGTGTCTACTTGATGTATTTGAGAAATGCTGCTCTAACTTTCGATAAAAGTATATGATTTGCTGCGGCACTGTTAGGATTTCTGAACAGCTGTGTCACAAACCTAAATATGTAAATTGGAAAAGCCAAAATCAAATCAATAAAAGATTTTGGTTTAAAAGAAAACAATTAGTATATAATAAATTTCCACCCCTTTCACAACTGCATATAATCATAATGTCATGGAAAATTATGAACGTAAATAGCTATCTAATAATAAACTTACCACTTCCAAATCAATACGCTTCATAATTATTGGTAAGTTCGCCCATTAACCACGCTTTTATTCAGAGTTGCACTCTTTCTCATCATAATCACTCCATTTTGCTTAGTATATCCATTTAGCTCATATCCATAAGATTCCCTCGTATCATCATCATCATCATTTTTATAAGGACAAAACAGGAAAGCCTGCTGTCCACGCTTTAGTTGCATCACTCGTTGCAATAATTGAGATGTATTATAATATTCGAAAGCAACGTGTTCCGTCAAAAAATTTGACCAGGCTGGTGACAAAAAGTAGTGTAGGACGTGAAAATCGGAATTATAAAGAATAGGTGGGGGTAATAGAGTAGGATCGTGCGTGGTTATCACGAGTCTCGCATTATGCTGATAGAGATGAGACTGAAGACGTTGCAAGGTTTCCGCAAGTTGCGAATCTGATGTGAAAAACTGCAATCAAATAAATACGAATTATTAATGGGAAGGCTTATTTTTTAAGAGAAATATCAAAATTACCTTGTGAGCTTCATCCAAGACCACAAGTTTTCCACCATTAACACATTCGGGATTATTCGATCGGATATAAATTTTGAGGATGATGTCAAAAAGGATTGATATCATTTCTTTATTCAACACATCATCACTCAAATCGGCAATGACTGCCACACCCGGCTGGAATAGTGCTTCCAAGGGCATCACATCATCTGAATCAACATTCCAGAATCCTTTTTGTTTTATGGACTGCATCAGTTTTTCAATAATAAGAGAGTCTAAACGGTTCAGACGTGACGTAAAAAATTCTTTGACTTTGAGGAGGAGAGAGGAAGATGTGGTTCTTCGTAAAAGAAGATTACGAAATGTGCTGTAATCAAAGTAATCTCCCAAGTCGTATAGGATGTCGTCAATTAATTCGACGCATTGATCGTAGATTTGTGCATCTCCTTTTATTGTAAGCCATGCCTTTATTTTTTTTGTATAATGGGTCACAATTTTAAAACTCTTTCATAAAAATGATTAAGAGGAAATTAAATTCATTGTTTGGTTTACCTTGATACTATTGATGCATAGTTCATTTTCCGAGAAAAATAAAGGTCTCACTTCACAATTCTCAATGTTTTTATAGTGGCTACTCATTTTTCGATAGTTTGATGGTGATAGCAATACAATAACTTTACTTTGTTGTGATGTGCCAAGTAAAGCTCTATAAGATGGTTGAGTATCGGAGGTACTATCAAATCGAAAAATCAAGGCGGATAAAGGATTATTTAATCCCCCCAGACAGGGGTTTTGTATAAGGCCGCCCTCGAGAATATTTTGCAACATTAAGTCTACGCCCGAATTAGGCGCCCCAGTTATCACGCTCGAAAATGGGATATCAAAATTGAGATAAACTTCATCATCATCATCATCATCATTATTAGTAGGAGATGGATCCAGCCTTTCCAGCTTTTCCAGCTTTCCAAGTGTTGTATAGTTTTGATAAACTTCGGGTTTATTATGTTTGGTTGCATTATTGAAAATTGGACTTTGATAGTGTTTATCCGATAGATTATGAATTGAGAAGTTAGGCTCTAAGTTTGTCTTTGATTCTTGAGATTTGTCAATTTGTTTATCAAAGGAAAAAGAGGATTCGGCTGATTCTCGACAATACTCGAGAAATGTTTTTTCTGATGCTGTTAAATTATTTTTTGGTAATATATTTGGTAGTATATGTTTATCTGAGATTGGCACGTTCTTCGAGAAACTGGATGTGAGATCGTCGAAATCTATCAGTGTGTTTGATTGAGCCGTCGGTTTCGAATATTTTGTAGGCGGAGGAGGTAATTCAGTTTTCGATGGGATAGTCGAGGTATTTTGAAATTCTTGAGACAGTGGTGATATCCCATTATTGTAAATAAGGTTCGTATCAACACGTTGTTCAACATGGTGGTTCGAGATGGTAGTACCAGTAGTAGGCACAGCGGGGGAACGTGGTAGTGGTACAGTCACTTTAGATTGCAATACACATGCTTCAATAGCAGCGGGCTGTGATTTGACACTTTCCCTTGTTACTTTTTGTGTTTCCGATTTTGGTCCAAGATTAAATCCTAAAGATGTGTCAGCATTTCTTTTATCTAAGTTTGATCTTTCATCAATAAATTTTATTGATTCTCCAGATCCATTAGATTCAGTTTTTTCTTTAATTCCACCATTAGCAATAGCAGCAATTGTCGTATCAATAGTCTTTGCAGGTTCTATTACTTGAGTACTCTTCTCACTTTTATTTGCATATAATTCTGCGAATTTTCTTGATGTTGCCTCATCAATTGATTTATTATTTACAGCGATTGTTTTGGATTTTTGAGGATTCAAAGTGACATAAACATTTTCATCCTTATTCTCCAACATAAATTCTGCACTATTCTTGAGTAAATCTACAATTTTAAATTCCGGAAATCCTGAATTCCAATTCAAGTGAGTCGTAACAGCCGAAAGCGAAACTTTTCCTCCTTCAGCAACTACTAATTTTCGTACAAAATCAGCTGGTGGTTGATCAGGTGGGAAAGGTTTGTACTCCACAAAAACATCATTTGCACCC